TCGCTTGGTTCGGTAATAACTTTGTAGCATAATCCTGGCTGCCTCCGCAGTTGATTGTGCCACCGTTTGCTGCTTACATGATTGCCAACAAAACATAGCAGATCCTAGAGTAAAAACATAACCTGTGGTGCTTTTCTTGTCTTCAGGAGAACCACCCCAATCGCTATCCGAGTAAGCTATTAACCTTGGTACCTTTGCACTTGTGAATAACACTCCAAAGCTTGCCGTTCCTTTGATGTATCTTAGTACCCTTTTAGCTTCTTGATAGTGCTTCATACGTGGTGATGACATGTATCTTGATAGATAGAAGCTTGCATACATCACATCAGGTCTTGATGCACACAAATACAACAGCCCTCCAACCATGCTTCTATACTTCGTTGGATCTCCATATTCTTTGCCATCTTCTTCTCTTTTTCCCTGTGGTGTAAGTGGAGTACTTACACTCTTGCTTTCTTTCATCCCAAACTTATCAATAAGTTTGTTAGCATATTTTTCTTGTGAAAGAAAAATGCCACGTTCATCTTGGTTTACTTCCATTCCAAGAAAGTAGTTTAGCAAACCAAGATCCGTCATCTCGAACTCGTTCTTCATGTTCTCCTTGAATGTGTTGATAAGCTGAACATTGTTTCCGATGATGATAATATCATCAACGTATAAGCTAACGATCAACACGTTTCCTCCTTGCTTCTTAACATACAATGCCGCATCATTCATACTTCTATCAAAATCATTTTGAATAAAGTAAGAATCTATTCTTCCATACCATGCTCGTGGGGCTTGCTTAAGACCATACAAGGCTTTGTGTAACCTTAACACCTTCTCTTCTTTTCCTTTAATCACAAACCCAGGTGGTTGTGTGACATAAACTTCTTCTTCAAGCTCTCCGTTTAAAAACGCCGACTTGACGTCCATTTGGTAGAGTCTCCACTCCATTTGAGCCGCATATGCAAGCAAAGCTCGTATTGTATCATATCTTGAAACAGGGGCGAATGTCTCAAGATAATCAACTCCATATTCTTGAGAAAACCCTCTCGCAACCAGTCTTGCCTTGTGTTTGATGTGATTTCCGTTCGCATCCGTTTTGATCTTATAGATCCACTTCACGCTTATCACATTCTTTTTCTCCGGCTTGTCAACTAGTTCCCAAGTTCTGTTTTTCTCGATCGTTTCTATCTCCTCTCTCATAGCCTTTCTCCATTCTTCATTATCACAAGCTTCATCATAGGTTCGTGGTTCTTCATGTGCAAGGAGACAAACTTCTATGACTTGAGCTGCTTCTTCCACCTCCATACATTCTGCATTTTGCAAGATTTCTTTCATAGACTTGTATCTCTTTGGAGGTGTTTCTGAATTTTCTCCTTCTTCATTGACTTGAGACCAATCAGAGCCGTAAATCCTCTCTGGTTGATTTCTTGGCTCATCATTATTGACTTGAGACAAAACAGGGCTGTCGTTTCTCTCTCTTAGATTTCTTGGCTCTTGTACGTCATTAGTAGATAAGACAATGATCTTATCAACTTCTTCTTGTCTATCCCAACTCCACTTCTTATTTTCATCAAACTCCACATCTCTTGATACTTCAATCTTCTCTTTCTCCAAGATAAGCACTCTATAGCCTTTAGATTTATTACTATAGCCAACAAGAATCCCACGCTTCGCCTTAGCATCTAGTTTTCTCCTTTTCTGATCAGGGATATGTACATAACATATACTCCCAAACTTCTTCAAGTGTGCCACGTTTGGCTTGTGTCCACTCCACTTCTCCACCGGCGTCATGTCGTCTTCGATTGCTTTTGATGGTAGACGGTTCTGTAGATAAGCCGAAGTATATACCGCTTCTGCCCATAACTTAAACGGTAAGCCTTGATCCACAAGCATTGCTCTTGCCATCTCCATCAAAGATCTATTC